GCAAAACGGTGAACCAAGCTTGTGCTTCAGCAACAGTCATGCTGACAAATCTTTTGGCACAATCCATTTGAATTGCCTCCAGCTTTTGCCGGTGGGTAAGCCATTTCGCTGCAGAGATTGCGCCGCGTGACCACGACAAGTTTTTCCGCTTGGTGAAAGCAGACAGGCTGAGCACCAGCCACGAAGGCGCTTTTTCCCCAAACAGTTTACTGTCAGGGGTTCTCAATGCTTTAAAGAATGGTCGCCTTGGTGCTGGATGGTCTGGTCGGGTTCCCGGCCAGCTTGTCTCCCACTTCCTTTCATTTGTCTCCCAGTTCTTTTCGTTTGTCTCCCAGTTCTTTTCATTTGTTTCCCCCCAGGCTGGGTGCTTGTGGTCGGGTTCCCGGCTCTCCTTTCATTTGTCTCCCAGTTCTTTTCACTTGTCTCCCAATTCTTTCATTTGTCTCCCAGGCTGGGTGCTTGTGGTCGGGTTCATTTGTCTCCCACTTCTTTTCATTTGTCTCTCAGGCTGGGTGCTTGTGGTGGGGTTCGGTTCCCGGCTGGCTTGTCTCCCACTTCCTTTCATTCTGGTCCGGTTCCCGGCTGGCTTGTCTCCCACTTCCTTGCATTTGTCTCCCATTTCCTTTTATGTGTCTCCCGCTTCTTTTGTCTCCCATGTTTGTCACTGCTAATTTCTGCCCTTTTCCGCTGGCCATGCAGCATTTCTATTCATGTCCCAGGTCTGTCACTGCTGGTGTCCGCCCTTCTCCGTTTGCAGGTCTGTCACTGGTGTGTCCTTGTGTATTGGCCATGAAGCATTTCTATTCATTTGTCTGCCAGGTCCGTCACTGCTGGTGCCATGTAGCATTCATTTGTTTCCCAGGTCCGTTACTGCTGCTGTCCGCTCTTTTCCGTTGGCCATGTAGCATTTCCATTCATTTGTCTCCCAGGTCTGTCACTGCTGGTGTCCGCCCTTTTCAGCATTTCTATTCATTAGTCTCCCAGGTCTGTCACTGTTGGTGTCCGCCCTTTTTCCGCTGGCGATGCAACATTTCTATTCATTTGTTTTCGAGGTCTGTCACTGCGTCCGCCCTTTTCCGCTGGCCATGCAGCATTTCTATTCATTTGTTTCCCGGGTCTGTCACTGGTGCTGCCGCCCTTTTCCGCTGGCCATGTAGCATTTCTATTCATTTATCTCCCATGTGACTTCTTTCTTTTTGTCTTTCAGGTTTGGTGCCTGCACTGCTGTTTTATGCCCTGTCCGCTGGAACAGGTTCGCGTGTGAAAGGTTCTTGCTCCTTTGAAAGGGGTGCGTGACTGTCTCCGGGATTGCATTGCTGCCACACTGTGTAACTCTCTCAGCTTTGTTTTCCTTTTCGGGCAAGCGTTGGATGAATGACCGGATTGGATTTCGGCGGCGTGGCAGCGATCTCTCTGTTCAGTTGGGGCGGAGGGCATACGTCAGGCACCAAGAATCATCCTCATGCTTTTATTTCTTGTCCTCACGTCATCAGCTGCCCGCTGATTGAGCAGCATGACCAGCATCATGTTCGCACTTGAAGAATAATTCCCCAAAAGGTTTACTGTTAGGGCTTCTCAATTCTTTCTTAAGATGTGTCCGCCCGATCTGTACTGCTGTGTCCGTCTCTGCCTTGCAATCCTTTACATTTGTCTCCCAGCTCTGAACGTCGCAAGCTCTAGTTTAACTGTTTGGGGTCTACGGTGGTGTAATTGCTTATGAAAGCTTGCTCCAGTTGGTGGTCAAATTTAGGGCAGGTTTGTGCAAATCTTCGGCGATCTTCAGGCATTCCTGGGTTCTCCATCTTGGCGCGTTTCGCCCAATGTTGAGGCTCTCTTTGAGCCTTCTCGTGGATTTATGTTGGAAGTGATTGGGGCCGTGGGGTCTAGATCAGGGCTATGTTGAAGGCTTTGCTGCTGTTATG